ACGAAGCTCGATCCATGGCAAAACTCTGTCTATGTTGTGGTGTCCAAAGCAATTATGATTGCTCTGTTGATCATCTCCACTTTGGCAAGCTCATCCTCCGTGAAGATTGTTCCTGTCTGTCCTGCAGGTGGAGTTTCATCAGGCGCTGTTGCTCGCAATCCAGGAACGGCAGAAGAACACAGTGAATTTGCTGCGGATCTGGAGTCCCTTTACTCGCAGCTCTTGATGGGGAAGCCCAGCAAAACAACCAATGTGTCTGAAAGAATCTATGGCCAAACCATTTGCTACACCGGCTTTGAGATCAACGAGTGTGTAGATATCTGCTTGAACCACTTGAAGCTTCGGCTGGACGAAGTTGCACCCCTTGCATTAGGAGCACAGATATGCGAGGAGAATGGCCTGTGCTATCTGCGCTATGAAATGTATAAATTTTGGTCAGCTTGATTCATTTCCAAAAGCTGTGGAAAGATGAAAAGACACTAGCTTGACAAAAATTATTACCTGGAAAGAAACTACTCCATTACTTACAATTATCTCAGCGTAACTTGCAGCTGCTTTGCGACTTCCTCCCTCACTTTGTCCTTGGAGAGGAGAAAAACTTAAAAGTTAGCAAGAAAACTTGGAGCTTTGTGGCTTTACCTGAATGGCATTTACTTCCTCATCCGTCAGAGAGCGCTCCATGGATCGGTAAGTTATTCGGTAGCAGTGGCTGGAAATCCCCTTCTTGTTTGTAAACTGGTCGATGAGGCTCACTTCTTCGGCAATGTCACCAGCGACATCTCTGACGAGCTCGCACAGGTTGTTCTCCGTGAAAGCATCGGTAATCCAGAAGCTTATGTCCTTGTAACAGGGAGGATACTGCCAAACCAGAACGAAAGTTAGAAGAAGCGAGCGCGTATGGCGTACCTTTGAAAAAGGCTTAAACTTCGTTCCAAGTTGCCCGGCTTTGAACTGCATCCAGAAATTTCGGAGAGATGTAAACTGCGCAAAATGTTAGAAGAGGTTAATTACTTGAGCAGTGAAGCGAGGATCTGACGTCCAAAAGAGTCGGATGTCCGGTATATCAAAGAGAACCATGGCGAGGCGCTCGAGGCCCAGACCAAATGCCCACGCAACTTTACCACTTTGTCCATTGCTTTTCAAGATTTCTTGCTCGGTGACTCCGCAGCCTAGAACCTCGAGCCATTTTTCCTGTCCCATCCACACATTTGATTGAGCACCTAATGGAAAGAAACGAAAAGGTAGAAAGAATAGACACCTTGAAGAATATTTCCAGCTCAAAAGACGGATTGGTGAATGGGAAGTACGTGTCTATCCATCGCATCTCTACGTTCCCTGCCATTACAGCATAAACAGATTGATGCACAAGTCATGATTTCATCGAGGCTTACCAAAGCTTACCAAAGAGTCGTTTGGCAAGACCCTCGAGAGTTTCTTTCAGATCCTTTACAGCTAAATCTGTACCATCCAAACCCGTGTCTTTCCATTCCGACTCACTAAAAACACGAAAGCCTTCCATCTGCCAAAAGAAGCGAAGATAACTTACTGTAAACGCAGGACTCAGGGAAAAAGAAAAAGCGAACTTGCCTGGTGGAAAACTGGATAGTGTGTCGCGTCGATAGCATCTCTTCTGTATACATCTCCGGTGACGAGGAAGTGCGTGAGGCCATCTCGAAGCATTTGCGCTTGGTGCGCACTCGTATGACACCGCAAAACTGTATTTCCATCGACATAGTATGTATCGTTGTAGCTTCTGCTTATGTGATCGGGAGGCACTAGAACATCATCAAAGTTCTAGAAAAAAAAAAGGAGACAAAGTCGAGCCAAAGAGCCAAGAAGAAAAGATTTACGTTCGACAGCACTCACAGATTTGACGGAAACCACTGGACTCAAGTCATCGAATTTCCGAAACAGCCCGGCAGGGAATTTCTCGTCGAAGAAGCTGTAGATTTCGTTCTTCAGGATCCCCAGAGGATGATCGGGCCTTCTATGGAGCTGGAGTCCAATCTTTGAAAAAACCGAGTCGGGCACATTGTTTGTGGGATCGTCCTGCCTCACAACCTCTGGAAGAACAAAAAATAAAAGAAATGCGAGCGTTTCCTCGATATTCCATCACAGTCTTACCTTCGCGAGTGAGCGTGACGCCGCCGATTTGCACCGCTGCTACAATTGGCGCCGATCGCTTCCGGGAAGAGCGAGAATCGATCGCTACCTGGCCGATGCCGCGCCTCGCATGCCCGCTCCTGAGCGCCAGCACGCGGTGGCAAAATGTGGGAGCCGACGACAGCGCCAGCGCCATGGCCTGGGCGCACAACCTCAAAGCTCGCTTAAACCCTAAATTCGAGGGGCAGAGAAGATATTCCCCCATTTCTACGCTTGGAAACCCTACCACCTTTTTTGCGTGGGGGAATCTTTCAACTGGCTATAGTGCAGTGCGCCAGGATTCCGAGATCCTCCATCATCACTTTTGTGATCTATGTGGAAGGAATCATATCAATTCTCCCAAATTCCTTTTTGGCAATTTGATTTCTGCCGGAGAACACACATGCTGATGGATCCGTGGAAGCAGGATGCCTTTCCACGCACTACACTGGCAGGAATATTTTTCTATATTTTAGATTTCTTTTCCTCTCCTTTTCTCATTATTTTCCACTTTTAGAGACAAAATTTGCACAAAATGTACAAGGTTGTCTAGAATATAATAAAGCCCAAAATGAAAGGTTTTGCAACTCTCTCCTGGTCTCTGTTAATGGATCATGAGCTCACTTAACATTGAATGACGACTTCGGAGCTTTGTACTCTCTTTATCAAAACTGTGGTTTTCTTTTTTTCTTTTTTTTGTTTTCTTTTTTATCATTGGAATCTTTGCTTGCGTTGCTGTTGTTGTTGTTTGATTTGAGAGGAGGTATATGATTGGAATATGTCTTGCGCGATGAGTCGCGCATCCTTGGAGACCCCCAAAATCCCTTTTCTGGACAGTCCAGCCACATATAATCCCCGCTGGCCTCGCCACCCGCAACTGGGGAATCCATCGCTGGAAAAGTTTAGGTGAGGATCCTGGAAGAACAAAGCACCCACATTAATTGGATCCACTATAGAAGATTTAGAGAAATCTAGCGAGCTTACCTTGAGCCATTTGGGAACATTTGGCTTGTAACCAGTCGCCAAGACGATTGCATCGTAACAATGCTGCTCTCCATTCACGAATTTGCAACCAGAGGCCGTAAAACACTCAATCGCCGGTTCTACCTGTGACAAGAAGAGAGAAAGAAGATGTTTGAGAGATGCTGCTATGAGCAAAAGCTAAAAGAGTAGCAAAGCTCCCCATTGTTGTCAATTCTTTGGACGTTGGATCGCTCGAATTCTGCTAGAATCGATCGATCCAACTTCCAAAGAATTGAATCAAAACAAAGAGGAAGATCAAACATCGCAAGCAACCAACAATCCAATCAATGGAAACAAGAGAAGAGAACAAATTCTCCAAGAAAACAAAGCTATGGCGTTACCTTGATGTTGCCTTGCTTGATGTGAGCCAAGGTTCCCACGTCCAGGACTGGCGTCTTGCCCATCTTCTCCTTCATCTCCAGAGGCCCTGTTTTAGGGCGCCGGATCCCATAGCGCGATGTATCGCCCAGCGCCAGGAGCGCGTAGAGCAGCAGCAATCGATCCGTGAGCCACAGCGGCAGGAACTTGAGCATCGCCACCGAGACACCAAATGTGGATTTGCCTAGCATCTCGCGCGGAAGGATGTGAATCTGGCAAGAACAAGAAACACGCAAAACATTTTAGCCCGGGCCCAAGAATTCGCGATCTCTCGCGAGGAATCACGATGCTTACCGGGCTGCGCACCACAATCGACGGCCTGGCATCGTGTTGCACGAGATCCATGGCGATTTCCATGCCGGAATTGCCCGCCCCGACCACGAGAACGCGCTGGCCGGCAAATCGCGCGCCGCTCTTGTAGACGCTCGAGTGCCGGATCTTCCCGGTGAAGAGATCCATACCCGGGATCTCCACGGGGATCCGCGCCTCCGCATTCTCGCCCGTGGCGACGACGATCCATCGGCCCACGTATTCCCTGGTGGAAATATTTCCTTCGCTGGAAATATTTCCAGGATCAGGGTTTGTGATCTTCATCGTCTGGACGCGCCAGAGCTGGAGGCGCTGATCGAATCGCGCCGACTGGACGATCTCGCCGAATCGCGGCTGGATGTGGAAGCGGCGCGCGTAGTCGTGGAGGTAATCCAGGAATTGCTGCTTGGTGGGATAGATTGGGAAGTGGGATGGGAATGGCGCCAGTGGGAGCTCGCAGAATTTCTTGGGGAGATGGAGGCGGAGGCGATCGTAGGTCCGCTCTTGCCACAGCGATGCGATGCAGTCGCTCTTCTCGAGCAAGATCGAGGATGTGATCCCCAGCTGCTGGAGGCATGCCGCGGTTGCCATGCCCGATGGGCCAGCGCCAACGATTATCGCTCCTTCCACCCAGGTATATGGTGTTCTTGGTGTTCTTGGAGGGTGGCAGCATGGATTTATGGAGAGCCTGAATTCTTCCACTCCTCGTTTGTGATCTTGGTGCCACGTCTCTTCTCTTTGATCGCTTTCTTCTCCTCTAGAAGCTCTTAGAGAACTTTGATCCTGGCCTTCTTCTCTTGTTTGATGAGATTGCTCCTTGTTTTCTTCTCTTTTTTGATGATTTTGATGTTTTGCTTGAGGAAAAAGCTCATTCTTCTTCAGGTTCTCAAGGTGGTGAAGCAGTTGCTTGTGACTGAAAAGATTTCTCCACCACTCCTCTGAATCTATGGCACAATGTGGAGGCATGCTTTGATCAATGCAGCTCTCTTGATCTTGATGGCTTGCCTGCTCTTGAAAGCTTGCAACTGCAAACTCTTGGAAAATTCCGGGAGAGACTAAAGATGATTCAACACAGAGCAAGGAAGGAGTAGTGCTGCTAATCAGCATCACCAAACAGCAATCAAAGTTTTGGAGAACTCTCACAAGACAAGGGAGAAATTCTTGGAAAAGGGAGACTTCGCTTTTTTGGGAGCTTGACTTCGAAGGAGTTTCTAGAGCTGCTCCAGTGTCTCTCGGACTGATCAGTGGTCCTTGAAAAGATGATTCAACAACTGATGCGGTGATGCATTGGCCAGAGTAACATCATCACCAATGCTCATCTCCTAAAATTTATAGATGATCCAAAAGGAGTGATGGGATCCAGAGATCTCAAGAAATCTCTCCTAGTCTTCCCTCTCAAATATACAAATTCAGATGGGCTGGAACTACCAAACTTCTGGCCAAAAAGAAAGCTAGGAAAGAAGTTTTTATAGCCGCCTCAAGCCCGGAGGAGAGGCCACCTCGCAACAACAAAACAATGCAGCTGAATGACAAGAACTCCAATCCACAAAAGCTTTGGAGAGGAAGATCAAAGCATTAGAAGATCCGTCCCACTGAAGAGCTTTCAAAAGAATAGTTTGATCAACAAGGCAAAGAAACAACTACAAAGACAAAAGAGCCCTTTGGAAGAGAAGACGTTTGTTCTTATAACCCCACTCTATGGATGCAATGGAGGAGAAAGTGGGATGGAATGGATTGAGTTTTAAGCAGAAGCACAGCCCAAAGCAACAAAAGGGAGAGAGAGAGGGAGAGAGAGACAGAGAGAAAGCGAGAGAGAGAGAGAGAAAGAGGAACTGGAAGTTGGAATGACAGGTCAATTATTTATTTGTAAACTAGCATAACTGTTGGGCTGAATTGTGTGGGTGGTGGTGGCGGTGGTGGCAAAAGAAAGGTGGTGGAGGAGGTGGAGGTGGTGGCACTGGTGTTGCACGAGAATGATCGATGATCGGCCTGCTGTATATAAAATCAAGGAAACAATGATTGAGAAGGACTTTTCGGGCTTCCTTGTTGTTGCTGGTGCTGCTGGGATGTTGTTGTTTGCGTCGTTTGCTAGGGGATTTGTTTTCGTGGGCATTTGTTTATGCAGCTAGCACGCAGCTAGATCGGCGTTGGCAGGGAGATCCAGCCATGTTTTCATGCACCACACAGCAATGTAATTGGGCTTGACATGTTCAACTTGGTTGGATCTCGGGCCCGTTTCGTTCCCTATTTACAGATTTTGAAATCCCTTTTTGGGTGAGTGCCAGAATTGAGATTTCCACGACACCACTTTCGTGCAGCCTGAGTACGTAAAATAAACAAACCTTTGTCCTTCGGAGTAAATATCACTGCGCATTGGGCATTTAATTTATACATAAACTTTCCTGGATTCCAGATCACTCAACTTTGAAATTACAAAGAAAAATCCAGAGGCAAAAAGTACACAACAGATGCATCATTTGGATGGGTTCCTTTTAACTATCAACAGAGAGTTTACCAACTCGATGATGATTTGAAAGAATGAGACCATATCCAAGCTGGGTAAATTCAACGCATGCCTGAAATGATCTCGGGAAGAACTGCTCTTTGAATAAAAGTGCCGAGGTCTTTTAAATGGTTTGAATCACATGAGGATCTACGACAAGAGGACAAATCCAATGACCGATAACATGGTGTGTGACATTGAGGCTTTTCCGAATCTGGGCTTGTTTAGCAATTTATTTGTCAACCAGGGCCACAAAAGCACAGCCACGGGGATTAAACTATGGGCAAAGCTTTGCATACACATGTATGCATAGTGCTTGTCGTGCTCAAGGAACCTCTTTGTGCTTGTCCTCAATTGGGCGAGCTTAGAATTTCTCCCCTCGCTCGCTCGCGCGCGCGCTTCCCATCTATTTCACACCTAACTTCGAGCAAATCCATACACACAAAGACACTTAGAGAAAGTTGGTAGTAGTTTTTTCTGGATGCCAAGTCAAGAATGGCGGTGCTTGTCGTCTTGTCAACTTGTAAAATCCGTCTTGTCAACCTCCAATTGACAAACAGCGTCAACTTTGTTTTAGCACCACCGCCTTGGAAAACCCTTTTCTAAACACGTACAGACAGTCGATCTATCTAGCATGCCGTCTTGCAGCAGATTCCATCTGGATCAATCGTGAAAGGTCGCGAGAATCGAAAATGTAACAATCGGATAATCAATCAAGAGCACCCATTATCCCTGTGTTTAATGCGACACTAATGCATGCCTGGATCAAAGTTTGTGGGGCGTGAGGGCTATGAAACGTTATGGAGGATCAAAGCTCACCATCATGGAGTAAGTGTTTGCCAAGGAGATGAAAGCACCGGCGCCGCCATAGTTCCTCGAATCGCCAAGTACTCGCTCGGCCGCGTGAGCTCCAAGGCTAGCATCGCTAAACTCCACACAGGAGCTAAGAATGGTGGTCCAAGCTATAACATCCGGATCAAACGGGACTCCCGCAAGAAACTCGATCGCCAAACTCAGCTCTCCAGACTTTGCCAAACCATCCGCGATGCAGTAGAAGTGATCCTTTGTCAATTGGATTCCAAAGTCCGGGAGCATTCTCACAAACCATTCTCTAGAACTTTGTAAATCTCCAGCGTCCTTGAGCGAAGCTAGCAAGCTCGTCACACACACCGGGTCGGGTTCGATTCCCTCGAGGCCCATTTCCCAAAAGCGCCGGTAATCCCAGCTTAGAGCCGCCGACCACGAGAATCGATCCCTGACCGGCATGGCGCCAAAAAGCAAGTATGCCTTTTCAAGATGCCCGGAGTGGGCATATGCTACCAGCATCGAGTTCCACGCGAGGAGGCCGTGGTGGGGCATCTTGGAGAGAATCTCCTCGGCGCGCGCGATCTCCCCGGAATGCCCAAACCCACGGACCAGGGAGTTCCACGTGGCGGCATCGCGGGCGGGTATGGAAACGAAGAGGCCCGACAGATGCGGCGCATATTCCCCAAATGCCGCGATTGTGGCGTTCCACGCGACCAGATTCCTGGCAGGCATCCTGTCAAAGAGAGATCGCGATTCCTCGACTCGCGGGCCACCGTCGATCCCGCCCCGCGCAACGGCCACGATGAGCACGGTCCAGGAGAAGACGTTCCGTACGGGCATCTCCGCGAACACGCGGCGCGAATGGCGGAGAAGACCGGCGCGAGCGTACGCGTCCATCAGGGCCGTCCACGTGGCGACGTCCCTGTGCGGCATTTGATCGAAGAGCTCCTGTGCTTCGTCGCTGCCAGTGGCGCTCGCGGCGATTAGGGCGTTTAGGGCGAAGACGCTCCACCGCGGCATTCGATCGAGCAGCGCGCGCGCGTCGTGCGAATTCCCGGCCTGGGCGATGGATTGGATGGTACACGACCAGGAGATTTCGTTCCTCTCTGGCATCGCATTGAAGAATTCGCGCGATTGGGCGCTGGATCCGAGCTGCGCGAGCGCCGCCGCGATGGTGTTCCAGGTCACGATGTCGCGAGAAGGAGCCCTGTGAAAGATTTCTTGCGCTTCGTCAATATGCCCATTCTGGGCATACGCTGCCGCCATCGCGTTCCAAGAGATGAGATTCCTCTCGGGCATTTGGAGGAAAAGAGCTCTAGATCTCGCGACGAATCCGGCGTGAGAGTATCCCGTGATCATCGAATTCCAAGCGATCACATCCCTCTCCGGCATCCTGTGAAACACAGCCTCGGATTCTCGCAATTGCCCATTCTGCGCATACGCTGCCATCAAAATGCCCCAGGAGAAGGCATTGCGGCGCGCGATGCCCTCGAACGCCCGCCGCGCCTCCTCCGGGCTCCCACACCGCCCATACATTCGCACCACGAGATTGCCCAGAAACATATTCCCGGGCTCCACGGCCGCGACGATCCTTTGAATCCGGCGCGCTTGATCGAGCGCTGTGCACGACCGCAGCAGCCGCGCCACATCCTCGAAGAACATACGCGTGGATCTCTTCCCCTTCCATGGCGCCCTGGCCGCGTCGAGCTACATGGATCGATCCAAAAACCCTAAAATTTCGACTCCAAGAACCCTAAAATTTCCCTAGTCGTGGCTACCAGATGCCGGAGAGTCAGCCGGCAGAGGCCGGTCAGATCCACGGCACGTCGTGCGGCCACGTGTCTGACGATGTCACTTCCCGGCGGAATATGCCGCGGGATATTCCGCCGCCATAGCCATGGCACTTTGCTAGCAGCTTCGCGGAGGGCTTCTCTTTCTCTCCTCGTTGCTTGATCGTGACGACGAAGGGGAGGGAAATCGCGAGGAGCGCCCACACGTGCAACGCATCGACGCTGTGACTCTTCAAGGCAAGGCCGCCGCGCATTTTCCACATTTTCGCGGCAGGGCCGCGCTAGGATCCAGCAACAACAGGGCAAGGAAGGAGGAGCGCCATAGCTAGGCGCCGGCAGGGACGCGAGCGATGAAAGCGCCGTCGATATTCTCCTGCCTCTACAATCTCCCCGGCCATTGCCTGCTCCAGAGCAATCCCGCGCGGCTGGGCTTCTCGGATCTTCCTCCGGCGCCTCCCGCGGAGGAAATCATCCCCACAGAGGTAGAATCTCTCGCTCTTTCTCGCGGATTTCGAAATATTTTTGGGATTTTCTTGGATGGATGGATGGATGGAACGGATGGATTGAGAGCTTCTTTCTGGCATTGTTTCGCAGGACACGCATGCCAAATTGTTTGCCACAGAGCCGGTGTCGTTGCCCGGAGGGATTATCCTTCTCAAGGTCGGTCGAGTAGTACTAAACAAGAGAAAAAAATCTCTAGTTATGTTTTGTCGCTTTAAGAAAGAGCTCTGACAGGATCATCTGGTTGTCTCCATTTCTTCTTTCTTCCAGGGCCGGATCACGAACAGCGATGTTGCTGGCATCCCCAGCGCTGATCTAGTTCCTGGAACGTACGAAGGTAAGCTGTTGCTTTCTGATTCGTATGATCAAGTGGGCATTGCTGACGACTTTTCTCTTCTCTCTTCTCCAGGAGGATTGAAGCTCTCGGAATGCGCCACCGATCTCGTCGACACGCTGCGACGTGAGATCCAAGACGGGCAGCTCTCGTTTCGAGGAAAGCGGGTGCTTGAGGTGCGTGGTCGACTTGATCAACTCTTTCGTTTCTATTAAGTTATCTTATGCTTTGTTTGAATTGGCCACCACCAGCTCGGTTGCGGGCATGGACTTCCAGGCGTGTTCGCTTGCATCAAGGTAGGCTAGAAGAAAAACGTGCCCGGCATCTTGACTCTAGCCAAGTGTAACACTCGTTTGTCTTCCAGGGTGCCTCCACAGTCCACTTCCAGGACTTCAACATTGAAGTTGTCAAGCGGCTGACGATCCCAAACGTGTCAGCTAATCTGGACTATGCCCGCGCACGAATCTCTCGCCACAATGGCTCGCTCACCCCGACGAGGAGCATGGCCGTGTCGCCCGACCTCCGCTACTTCTCCGGCGACTGGGCCGACGTCCAGAACCTCCTCTCCCAGGCCAGTCCACCCGACTTGGACAACGACACCAACGTCGACTTTGGATTCAGCTTCGACTACTCGTCCCGGCCATCGACGCCGCTCGGCGAGCACTCGAGGCCATCGACTCCGTCGACTCCGGTGGGCGACAGGGAGCCTTCGCGGCCGTCGACGCCAACCGAGAATGGTGGACGCTCCAGGAGGCGCTCGAACGGGAGCCGGGCTTTCGAGAGCAGTCGAGAATGCAGCGGGTACCAAGAGGATGGCTACGACATCATCCTCATGTCCGACACCATTTACAGCTCCTCGTCTCTCTCCAAGCTTTACACCCTGCTCAAAAAGGTACTGTGTTCTTCTCTTTGCCGTCCCTTCCTTAGTTTTCCCTGTCCTTATCTTTGTCTGTTTTTTCTATTTGTTTTCCACTGTCCACTGTTTGACCCCGTCGGCTTTTGTTGCAGTGCCTCAGGCCTTACTACGGTGTCGTGTACGTAGCGGCGAAGAAGCACTACTTTGGACGTGGCGGTGGCAGCCGGCAGTTCAAGAACATGGTCGAAGACGATGGTAAGGCTCTTTGCTTTGATCGATCGCTTGGTTCCATGGCTGAAAGAAAGCTCTTGCTGTGACAGGCATTCTAGGCGCTCATCTCGTTGCAGAGTTTCCCGATGGCTATTCGAGCACGCGGGAAGTGTGGAAGTTCTTCTTCAGGTAGAGATTCTTTTGCTCGTCCGGTACATCGCTGACTGTAGGGGAGATCCCTCTCTCACGATTCGAGTGTTTTGCGGGGATTTGCCACGTCTTGACACGGCAAATCTAGTTTAGAAATCCCCGGCACCTGGCATTTGTAACCCAAAGCGTCAAGTCGGCCTTCTCGTGGATATGATCCAAGTGGAAGTATTCTAAAATTTGATTACCTCTCAGCTCCGCAGAGGCAGGGGATCTTCTGATCCTCGTGAGGAAATTTGTAGTCGTATGTAAGCTCGGTCCCGGGAGCAATGTGTGTTCTTGCGTAAATAAAAACACGTTTCTGTCCCTCCACTGTGATGATCTTGGGATAGCAGTTTGGCTGGTGTTTTATGAAACAGAAGATGAGAACGTTATTGTTACAAAGACTTTGGAAACTCACCTCGCAGGAGTGATTTATAAACCTTCCGAGTCCTCCGCGCTGGGTGGCATCAATCTATACGATCAAACACACCAAGATTTTAGTCCCAGATCTGGGTGTAAGAAACTGATTTACCACAAAGCCATCGCCAACGCGGAAAAAATAGCTGCTACCAAGTCCCTGCCTTAAATATCGAACTTCTCGAACGTCTGCCACCTTAAGAAAAAAAAGAAGAACCATAAGTTTTGGAGAAAAGAACGAAGAAAACAGGAACGGTATTACCTTTGGACGAAGAACTTCTCCGACGTACTCCACAATGAAGTCTTCAGGCTCAATGACCTCCATAGCCACCACTCCCCATGCGTGTATCTTGCTGCGCTGGAACTTTAGCAACTTTTTGCGTGCTCTCATCTTCTCCATAGCTCTTGAGCCGCCGAGCTTGCGAACCCCAGCTCTGTTCGATCGTGCCGACGGTAAAGTCCCAGCTCTCTCCTTGGCCCTGGATTGCTTGCGATCGATGCAACAGTAACTCTCGTAGCTGGTCTTCCATAGCTTCCACTCTGATCCAGGCAGTGAGCTTCGTGCACAGCCTGGAAGTTGCGGTTGTCTAGCCTCGTCCTGCTGCAACAATATAGCTGGTACAGGCCGCTTGGAACTCAACGATTTTAGCGGAGAGCCTTCGTTTTCTTCTTCTTCTTCGCTGAGTGTAGAATCACTAGATTCATCAGTCTGTTCCTTGATAGTAGCGAGCTTTGTCTCCGATTCGGAAGCTAAACTGACCATCCAGTCAGAGAAAACAATGAAACGAAATGAATCAAAAGAGACAAGACGTACCTTTTGCATCGGTGAGCTCCGTGAGCTTCAGCGTTCGTTTCTTTGCCACGGCCTTGTCTGTTTCCAACGGAATCGCTGTCACCGTAGTAGTGTCATTTGGCTTCTTTGTCTTGCGGAAAACTTTTAGTACCAGCTGCGGAGGTTCACTTCCAGAGACGGTGTTCTTCTTCTCAGCCGGAACTGAAGCTGGAGTCGGAGGAATGATCTCTTTCACCACCTTCACCGGTTCAGCGACTTTTTTCTTCTGAACAGAGTCGAGATTGGTTGAAGCTGGAGGAATGGTCTCTTTTACCACCTTCAACGGTTCAGCGACTTTTTTCTTCTGAACATGATTGGCTGGAGCTGAAGCTGGAATGCTCTCCTTTACAGTCTTCAACGGTTCAGCGACTTTTTTCTTCTGAATGGAGTCGAGTTTAGCTGGAGCTGGAATGCTGGTCTTTCTCGAGTTCTTGATGACAACCTTCAGAGGGCAGCTCCTCGGTTCAGCCATTGTTTTCTTCTTCTCGTCGACTAAGATCGTAGTCTTCTCATTCGCTAGAACTGGAGCTGGAGTTGGCACGCTGACCTCAGTTTTTTTATCACCGGTGGACCTGTTCAAGCTTTTGATGACAACTTTCAAAGGACCGCCTCTTGGTTCAGGAACTTTTCTCTTCTTCTCGTAAGGCATGAAAAGGTCGAGATCGACTGCATCTGGAGCTGGAACGGTGGGCTCTTCTACGGCTTTCGAAGAACAGTTCCTCTTGAGACGCTTGAAAACGGTGGTTTCGTTCGTCCCGACAGGCGTAGGAGACGAGTCTGCGGTAGCTTTACTATCTTCGCTGTGCTCGTGCTTGCTGTCTTCGGAGATAATCTCTACCACCGGTGAATTGGGCATCGATGTCAAGTTTTCTTCTTGCGGTTCTTTGGTCCAGGTGGCCATTGCCGCCGCGCTCTCTACCGCTCTTTCGGCTCTTTCCTTCAACCTGTTGATCCTCCAAGATACCAGAGAAGTCTCCATTGCTGGCGTGCTGTCTATGACTTCAACCGTTTGCTCCTTCCTGTCTTTGTACTTCCTCACGCAAGGGGAGCTTTCCATCTCCGACGTGTCCTCTCCGTCTATAGCTTTCTCCTTTCGACCAGCTTTCTCGTAGGTCCAATCCTCTATAACTGACGTGGTCTCAATCACCTCTATCACCGGCTCCTTCTGGCTCGCTTTCGCTTTTCGTTCGATGTCCCACGTGTGCAGATACTCTCCCACAATGGCGTCTACGATACCTCCTCGTGCTGCTTCAAGCACTCCGGAATGAATGCACTTCTGAATTGCCGCCAGTGAGTTGGACATAGGATCTTCCAATGTCGAGTCGGTAACATACTTCTCACAACACTCCACCAACATTGCTGACTTCTGTGAATGTCCTTCCTGTAAAACGAAGGCGTGAATTAAAAACACATAACAAGGAACGACGTAGCATGTACCATTTCTTTCGACCCTTGAACGCCATCGGGAGAGGAGAGCTCGCAATCTGAGCTATGAGGTGGTCCGCTACCATCAGGATCAGAATAGTCCTGAACAACGAAGCTGTTGATTGTGAACAGCAGCAGACAATTAAAACGGATGGACTTACCTCCGCGGTTTGGGAAGCTTGTTTCCCCCAATACTTTCTCGCTGTTTTATATGTCTGCAATGCCTCGTTCATACTGCTGATAAAAAACCACCGAACCGTAGTTTCATAGATGTCGTAATGAAGCTTTTTCTGGAAGGCCGATAGAGACTTATCCACGCAGCTCTGGGCGTCCATCTCCTCGCCGAGGAATGATGCCGACTTTGGCATGCATCCTAACAGCGAAAGCACCGTTTTGCTTTTCGAAAATTTTAAAAGTGTCTCGAGAGGGATTGGTTTGATGTGTTCATACATGTGACGAACCTGACACGAGTTCAACGTGTTAGACCCCAATACCGAAGAGTCAGTCTAGCCATACCAGTACATTCTTGTCCATAATGCCCTCTTGAAGTCGGGTTGACATAAATGAGAGCGAAACTGGGCCATGCATTTCCCCGTTATCATCCCAGTAATTCCAACAGGCACTCTTCAGCAGCTGTAACCATCGGATGATGAGGCCGTCCATAATCAAGTGAAGAAAAGAAAATGATACCTTCAAGGCAGACTTGTGCTCGCGGTCCTCGAAAACATACTCCAGTCGCTTCTCGGACTGGGGGCAGCTATAGTATGGATGGCCCGACTTGCCGCACGTAAAGCATTTGTTCTGCCTGAGGTACTGGTTTTTCTCCGCGTCAGTAAGTTTCGTCTTGTACAGAACACAGGCATTATCCCCAACCGATCGAGCGCTTTCGTTTCGAGGGGCATCACCATCTGAAAACATCGGGCACTCGAAGAGAAGGTGACCACTCTCGTGGCAATTGAAGCATCGCTTCTCATCCGCACGTCTTCCACCATCTTCCTTGTTGGTTACAGAAACACTGACTTTTCTTGGGCAAACTCTGCTCTTGTGGCCTTCTTCACCGCAGTTGTAGCACTGCTTCCCACGGCCTCTCTTCCTGTCATCCTCGGACGGCCTCAAACGTTTTGGCGATCGTTCCCCTCTCTCGGTCTTCAGCGGGCACTGGGCGCTCAGATGCCCAACTTTACCACAGTTGAAGCATGACCTCCGGTCTCGTTCGTTATGTCGTCCTGGACTCGGAGATCGTTTGCTCTCAGGCTTACGTTCAAAACCGGGAGGCAAGTCCTCCTCACTTCTCGCACGGGCTTTCGCTGCAAGTAATTCAGCATCTTTTCTGCCATCGTGATGATCTCTCCGACTACTAGCATAGTAGTCATAAGGCTCCCTGTCCGGCGATCTTTGTCTCTCTCTCACGCGCTGGTAATCCTGTAAAGAAAAGTAGTTAAGAGAGAGGTACATTTTCTTTACAAAGCTCGAGTTGCACTGACCTTTGCAGGAGGGTAAAAGTCCGGAGCCTCTGCAACAAGGAACTTCAAGCTGAGAGAAAAAAAAATAAAAATAAAAATCTACTTACCTCGACCAGAATAATGGCGTTGCGCGGAAATGCGGCCCAGAGAGCTGGATGACACGAGAAGAACTTACTAAGCCAGAGTTATAAAAGAGAGCTTACCGTGGTGGTGACATTGTTCGTCCACCGAGATCGTCATATCTATAGTCTTCTCTTTTGTGAGTTCTTGCTAGCATATAATCATCCTCAAAATTGTCATAAATTTTGGGAGAAGAATCCTCCTCCGAGTCCCAGAGGTCGTATGGATCATACCGTGGCAGCTGCTTCCTGTCCCAAGAAGAAGTAGAATCCCTGCCATAGCCACCCTGGTAGCTCTTCCTGCCATTCTCAGGGTGGGATCTGGCATTGGAATTTCGAGCACGAATCGTCATGCCGCCGCCTGTCCATAACACGGAGCGGTTGCCAAGGGATTTCTGGAAAGATTGAAACTCCAACTCATCCTCCTCGTCCCAGCCAAGCTCATCCTCCTCGTCCTCCCACGGCATTGACGAGTAGCCCCCATGCCGCGAGGATTCCCTATCCCTGTCGCTCCTGGAGCGTTTCCTGTCGAGATTCCTACATTCTATGCGGCAGCTCCTACCTCCATCGACCGCAAAGACCTGCCTCATCGCGCTCGCGTGCCGGGAAATCGCTCCGCTGCTAAGAAACCCTTCGCCAGAGCACCATTCCGAGAATGCCAGGCACTAAAACCCTAGCTCCACCATAGCCGAGAGGTTTTAGCAAAATCCCCATTGATCGGGCGGCCAGTAGCACGCCAAGTGGACAGCGCTTGATCTAGGACGGCATATCCCTGTAGACTAGATATTTTGGCAGTGCTCGAGATATTTTCGCGGAAAAACCCTAAACCCTTAGGGCACATGTGTTTGGCGGGAAATAGATTTCAAACAGAAGAAGGCTGGGCGTCGAGAATTAGGGTTCTTGGGCGGGCCAAGAATCTCGCCCAGCTGCGCCAGATCCATGGCGCGATCACCGCGAGCGAGCACAGGCACAGCAGATATTTGGCCAATCTCATCATCGACGCGTATGGGAAATGCGGTAGCGTGGAGGAGGCCCTTGCGGCGTTCCAAGGGATCGGCAGTCCCAATCTGTTCTCCTGGAACACGATGATCGCCGTGTTCTCGGAGAATTTCCTGGCGGTTGAAGCCGAGGGGATCTTCTGCGGCATGCCGCTGCGGAATCTAGTCGCTTGGAATTCGCTGTTGCTGGGGTTTGCCCTCCAGAGGCGATTGGATCGAGCTCGTGGGGTCTTTGATTCAATGCCCGAGAGAGACGTCGTCTCTTGGAACACGATGATACAAGCTTATGCTAGCGACCGTGATATCGGCAAAGCGACGGAGATTTTTCTGGCGATCCCCGAGCCCGACATTGTCTCATGGACGTGTATGGTTGGAGTTTATGCCCAGAATGGAGATCTAGAACACGCGAAGGTACTCTTTCATCGAATGCCTCAAAGGAATGTGGTTTCTTACAATGCTCTTCTTCCAGCTTTCTCTCAGAGCTTTCACGTTTACGAAGCAAAGAGGATGTTTGACTCCATGCCAGAGCACAGTGCGTTTTCTTGGAATGCGCTGATGCTCATCTGTGCTCGTCATGGACTTCTCGGAGAAGTGGTAAGAATGTTTGACGAGATTCCAGAAGCTGGGATTGTAACTTGGAACATTTTTCTCCAGGCTTACGTCCGAAAGGGATTGATCCGAGAGGCAAAGGCTGTGTTCTACCGAATGCGTCTGTGCAATGCGGTGTCATGCACCGCGATGATTTTAGCCTGCGGTCTTAACGGAGAGATGGAGGAGGCCACAAAAGTTTTTCAAGGTATGGTGGAGCGAGACGTAGTGGCTTGGAACACGATGATCCAAGGTTTCCTGGAGAACCATCTGTGGACAGAAGCTAAAGCTCTCTTTGACGAGATGCCTCACAAGGACGTGACTTCTTGGACGAGCATGGTTTCGGCATTTGGTCGCCAGGGAATGGTGGAAGAAGCAAGGAAGATGTTTGAAGCAATGCCGAAGTACGACGTGGTGTCCTGGAACGCTATGATCCAAGCTTACGTTGATGCCGGGAGATTGGAAGAGGCTAGAGCCATCATGGACAGAAGTATGCCTGCGACGAACGAGTTTATAGAACCATGGACAGTTTTGATGGTCGGGTATGCTCGAGCAGGCCAAGCCGAAGAAGCCAGAGAAGTTTTCGCGAGAATGCCGGGGAAGAATGCTGCTGCATGGACAGTCATGCTGGCTACTCAAGTCTCACAGGGAAATGGTGGCGACAAGTTACTTGAGGCCAAGAAAGTTTTCGACGAGATGCCGGAAAGGAGCCTCGTGTCCTGGAACCTCATGCTGGGATCTTGCTTTCAAGCTCGCGAACTCGAGCAAGCCAAGGTGGTGTTTGAAACAATGCCCGAGAGAGACGAGATATCCTGGAACACAATGCTGGCTGGCTACGGTGTTCATCACGGGAAACTTTTGGAGGCCCAGGAGATTTTCTACACGATGCCAGCTCGCAGCATTGTCTCCTGGAACTCACTGCTCGGATCTGTCACTGGAAACGGCAACTTAGAAGCGGCAGCGCGGTTCTTCGAGCGTTTTCCCGAGAAGAACGTCGTCTCCTACAACACCATGATCGCGGGGAATGCTCAGGCCGGAGAGCTGAGCTCTTGCTTCAATCTGGTGGCGAAGATGGCAATCGAGGGACTCACTCTGGACGAGCAATCCTTCTCCAGTGTTCTGGCTGCGTCCAGCCATGGCGGAAAGCTAGAACAGGGACTCCGCCACTTCGTGCTCATGAGCGGCGACTTTGGAATCACAGCTTTGAGGGAGCACTACGATTCAGTCACAGACATCCTGGGACGGGCCGGGAACCTGGAACTCGCTCGAGAGGTCGTCCAAGCCATGCCATTTCTCCCGGATCTTCTGGCTTGGGGATCGCTACTCGGTGGCTACCAGATGCAAAGTGGCCAAGGCTTCACGCAACGAGCAGCCAGGAGCGTTTTCGAGCTGGGCTTGGGGCGAGCAAACAACCATACCAAGTGGTAGACAAATTCACGTTATATCATTGTTTTTAAAATATGATTTGTATGATCAAACTACACCCTGGTTTACATTTATCTCTTCATGTACTAACAGTAGGCGCTCACTAAGTTGACTGATGGAGGCATGGATTTAACACACTCACGCTGCTCGAACTTTCTTGACAACCAAGTCGCTACTAAAACCGGGAGCACTGCTCTTCACTCCACAGCACCTCCTCTTTTGAATCGTCTTCTTCATCTTACTGCTGCAATTCTCAACGATCCAGGGATGCTCCAGCACACCATCCAGCGTCAACCTCTCGCTCGGCTCCACAGCCAGCATCCCGCAGATGAGATCCTCCGCCTCGTCTGAGAGAGGACAACCATCCGGGAATTCCCTGGCTTGCAACAACTCTATCTCCCTGGACTGCTTGTAGCCTCTCAACAGCTCATATGCAATCACTCCCAGCGCCCACACGTCCATGGATGTAGTGTAAAAGCTCTGCAACCTTGCGTCGCCATGATCATCCTTGCAGCTCGTCACCTCCGGGGCCATATACTTCCCGGTTCCACAGCACTGCGACATCTCCTTGGGGTCGTCTGTGGCCACACCGAGCGCAGCATTTGCTCGAAGAGCGCACTGCGACCGGTTTAAGTTCTTGGATGGCATGCGCCACTACTTCGCCAGCATTCCTGTGGCCGAGGCTGAATTCCAGGCTCGTGGACGGAGGCCACACCCTGCAAGATTTCTCCCGCATGCTCCTGAGCAGCGATGCTGACGACGCCAGCGATCGTCGCCACCACGCTGCCAATAGGCGGCAGAGTGAGGCTTGTCAGGATCCAACACGCTGCTCGTGTCTCCCGCGTGGCTGTGAGCTTCCAGCAGCGAGTTCCAAGTCCCCAGATCCTTGCTGCCTCGATCCATGGAGTGGAAGACTTGGCGAGCTTCGTCCAAGCTCCCGCACTTGCCATAGAAGCAGCAAAAGATATAACATGGCAGGGGACACATGCTTCCTGTAGTCATTGACACCAGTGATCCTCCCAAAGTAGACCATGCTGTTGTTAAGAAAGGGCTTGTGATTCATGGCCGGGACGTGAAGATCGTGGAGGACGAGCTGCGTGATGCAGTAGCCTCTCGTCTCCACAACCTTGTGCTGCCATCTCTGATCACCTCTGGAACTTCCACGAGCTCGTTTGTTACCAGTGTTCAGTCCTCGCAATCGAGGACCTGTTGCGTAAACGCTCTCAATCTTTGGCTACGGCGAGAGTGGCAATGAGAGGCTGGCGGTGGAGCTCGACGCTCTTTGCCGCGGGGGGGACCTGGAAACTGGGAGGAAGATCCACGCCGAGGAGATTGGATCACTCCACAGGGACGATCTCGTCGTTGGGAGCTTGCTCGTCATAAAAGGTCTAGAAACATAAAGTAATTTTAAAATCTATGAGATTTTGCAATTTAGTAATAACGCCCAAATATATTTGCCTTTACACAATCTTTTTGCTAGGGCATGTTGGTACGAGTGAAGTAGCAATGATGAAGAGTGATATAAATGACTTTAAGTTGGGTTGTGAGACTATTGTGTATAAGATCAAGCATAAAGCAAATAGTGAATTTTTTTTGCATACAAATGAATTCAAATAAATGATTACCCTATTAAAGACTTGATCATTGATGACATACTCCAAAATGGAGGCTTACAAGAGGAAACTAAGGTAAAGATTGAGACACTGGCCCATCTTTCAAAGATGCATAACCTAGATCTTGGATTGAATAATCCTCCAAAGTGCAAAACAAAAAATGAGTTATAATATTTAAGCTTCTGGAAGTTTTTAGGGATTAAGATTATTACCATTTTTTAAAGGAGTCGTGTCAATGTTTGTTAAAGGATGTGTTGCTCAAATAAAAAAAAAACTTAATGAATATAAGGCAGCTATTGTGATTAGGCAAGCAGCCAATGCAATCCATAAGATGCACAAGGGGGCATTGCTCATAAAATATCCTTTTAGGGTTTAGGGAAAGCTTGTTTGGGAATATAAAGCTCATAGACTTTTAGAGCATTATCAAGGTTTTCAAAGAAGGGATTAGGGGGATTGACTGAAGTGGAAGCCAAACAAGCATAACATGTTTGGGTTAAAAGTTTTAGTTTGAAAAATCAAGTGCAGGATTAGAACTCTTAACAAAGTGCTCGAGGAACGAACATGAAGCATACAATAAGTGAGTTTTTAGAAAAGGGATACAAAAGGATTAATACATGACATATAGAAGTGTTGAGATGAAGTCTAAGGTGGAATCTGACATGGAGTCCAAAGTGGAGTTTGAGGTGGAGTCCAAGATAAACCCAAAATGGAGTCCGAAATGGACTCAAAATGGACTCAAGATGGAGTCTGAGATGGACCTAAGATGGAGTTTGAGATGGATCTAAATAGAGTCTAAGATCGATTCGAGATAGAGTCCGAGATGGACCTGAGATGGAGTCTAAAATGGACCTAAGATGGACCCGAGATGGAGACCAAAACTGAGACCAAGACAAAGATCGAGACTGAGGCTAACTATGAGTACAAGATTGAGTCCGAGTCCGAATATTAATACAGGCTGTGAGGTGAAAACCCAAAGCGATCGACCCTAGGGGGTGGGGTTTCAAGGGGTTCCAAAAGTATAGTAAGAAGAGTGTGGGGGTTGGATTCTAGTGGAACCAATTTGGCAAGAAAAGGCTAGTGTGGTTTAGGAAAGTTATACCCATGTGTTGATGATGATATAACCATTGAGAAGTCCAAAACTAGAGTGAATATGGATAGACAAATAAATAGCTTGGTGAAGTGTTCAAAAGTTGAGAAGTCCAAAGCTAGAGTGAATATAGACAAACAAATAAGTAGTTTGGTGAAGTATTCAAAAGTCAACTCTAATTCCCTCAGGAGATCAAATGGTCAATATTCCTAGTCCAAGTGTGGGTGGCACTACCTATTTGGATACTGGCATGGCTCATCAAAACCTTGCTTTAACCACATGGATAAAGTGTAAACTCTTGAATTTGGACTTCCCGGGAAGTCACCCAGTCCAGTATTATTTAAACCCAAGGACACTTAACCCCAAATATCTCAAGACCCTTAACCGATTAAAAGAGGGGGTGCACTCTTGTTCATGGGCCTTTTCCTTCTATAATTGAACCCCATGTATCATCTCTCAAGTCATTCCCTTTGGTTGTTTACATAAGGCACATAAAAGTAGATGGTGGGAAGAGTACCCACGAAGCTCGTGTAGGGTTGGGATGTTTCGAAATGTTGTCCCAAAGTCCCAAACTGTGGAAAGGAAGAAGAGCAATCTGTAAGCGACTAAATTTTCCATTCTACTTTAGTCACTTAACCACACCTCCGACTACTTGGAAGAGTCTCACTCACAACCTCCATAGGTCCTATTTTGGACTTAGGGACTTGCTAGCCCCAAGAATGGCATCCATGCCACTCAACCATTGCACTTGGTCCAAGTGCTCCACGTGTCCAATCCCATGACCAACACCCCAAGGTACTACTGACATATCAGCCCGTTACGCTAAGGCCATGCCCATTCACCTTGGTCACATTGGTGGTCCAACACCACCTACATCACAGTCCCATCTCTCAAAGATTGGGGCATCCGTCCATGAGTGATCATCCCAGATCCACTCCTTAGCATCTTTAGGATGCTCATAGACATGGGGAATAACCTTCCCCAATATCCCCTTTCCGGTCCCCACCAAGTCCCTTTCTGCCCATGGCCATGTTTGCCAACACTACCACTGGATCAAGGCCTACAGGCCCGACCACTAAGTCCCACAGTCCTTTGGGACTTCCTCCTCACATGACTGCATCCTTGGTCTCTACACCATAGGATGGCTCCTCTTCCTTTTCACAATCTGGGACCTTGGGGCAACATTTTGGAACACCGTGGCCTTACACAAGCCTCGTGGGTACTCTCCCTGCCTTCTGCCTTTGGGTGTTTTAGCCGTGGGCTTAGAGCGAGGTTCTGTTGAGCCACACCAGGTATCCAAGTAGGTAGTGCCACCCATACTTGGACTAGGAGCATCGGCCAGTTAATCTCCCGGGGGAACTAGAGCCAACTCTTGAACACTTCACCAAGCTACCCCGCTTGTCGGTCTGTGTTCACTCTAGTCTTGGACTTCCCAGTGGGCAGCTCATCACCCAACACTGGGTACAGCCTTCCTGGGCCAAATTGGCCTTTCCTGGCCAAACTGGCTCCACTGCAGTCCTCCCCCTCACTATACTTTTGGAGCTCACCAAACCCCCCAAGGTCTGGGAGACGAATGCTTTGGGCTTTCACCCTCTTAGACTCGAACTTAGACTCAAACTCGGACTCGGGCTTGGGCTCGGTCTCAGCCTCGGCCTCGGTCTCGGTCTCGGTCCCAATCTCGGTCTCGAACTCGGACTCCATCTCGGGTCCTTCTCGAACTCCATCTCGGATTCCATCTCGGGTCCATCTTGAACTCCATCTTGGTCCACCTCGGACTCCATCTCGGGTCCATCTCGGACTCCATCTCGGTCCATCTCAGACTCCATCTCGGGTCCATCTTGGACTCCATCTCGGACTCCATCTCAGACTCCATCTCGGGTCTATCTCGGATTCCATCTCGGTCCATCTCGGACTCCATCTCGGGTCCATCTCGGACTCCATCTCAGACTCCATCTTGGGTCCATTTCGGACTCCATCTCGGGTCCATTTCGAACTCCATCTCGGTCTATCTCGGATTCTTCCATGTGTCATGTGTCGGTCCTCTGGTGTCCCTTTTCTAGAGACTCACTTATCTTTCACTTCATGTTTGTTCCTTGAGCACTTCGTTGGGAGTCCCACTCCCGCTCTTGACCTTTTCAAGTCGGAGCTTTTAGTCCAAACGTGTTACGCTCGTTTGGCTTTCACTTCAGCCACTACCACGTGGCACCCTTCCAGCTCCACTTTGGGGCCTAGGGATTTTGTGTCTTACACAATCCACTTGTGTGGTGACCAAGGATGCAGTCATATGGCAAAGAAGTCCCAGAGGTCAATGAAACATAGTGGTTAGGCTTTCAAGCCTTGACTTAATAGCAGTGTTGGCAAACATGGCCATA